GAAACCCCCACCCCGGCTTGGGCCCCGGGGATCCCCGCGTGACAACACTGGTTAAATCGATAATCGATGATTGGAATGGTTCAGCACGCGAATTACGCGAATTACGCAAGTTCCTCAGACCCTTGCGCTAAGAGAGAAGATTAATAACAATCATATTTTTCATCACCACTTCAGGACACCTTTCACCACTTCAGGTAAAGCCTGCCTAAACAAGTGGTTTTCAGGGTCGTCGGACCTTTCACCACTTCAGGACCATTCAGGATTTTCATACCTGAATGGTCCTGAAGTGGTGAAAGCTCCGAGGACCTTGAAAACCACCTGTTTAGGCAGGCTGCATCCTCAAGTGGTGAAGGGTGGTTTTCATGGTCTTCGGGCCTTTCACCACGTCATGACCATTCATGATTTTCAGACAGCCCAAAACTCTCACTTGACCACTTCAGGACACCCTTCACCACTTAAGGATGCAACCTGCCTAAATAGGTGGTTTTCAGGGTCTTCGGACTTTTCACCACTTCAGGACCATTCAGGATTTTCAGACTGCCAAAAACTCTCACTTCAAAATTTTTATTCCTGAATTTTCAGCTACACGATAACCGCTTGTGTGCGCTGAAGCATGCACATTCTTGTATTCCTATGTGTCTATTCAACGTGAAACGGAAAAGTTTCAACGCCGTTGTACCCGTTGAATAGCGCTCAGGGCCCCATTGAATCCCCGTTGAATAATACAACGAGCCCTCCGTGTTGAATATTGTTCAACGAGGAGGGCGCATTGGGTCTCGGACACGTCGCCGGATGAGTGTGGAGCGAAAAAATAATTCATCCCGTTGAATCCCGTTGAATCCCGTTGAATCCCGTTGACTACCCGTTCAATCCCGTCTATTTATTTTATTTCATTTTATTTCCCCCCCCTCTAACCACAAAGTCCAGGAACATGACCCATTACCAGTAGGATAGGAATTTGGTCGATCAAGTGTGACACTGAGTGGCAGCGGGCTGATAGGTTCATTATGAATTTCTGGGCTAAGAAAACATGAAGACGGCAAAAAAAGAATAAAGAAACAGAGACCTCCCACTTGAAATCACGGCATAATGTTTCCCAGCCATCAGATCACAAATGATCTGATGTTGGTGGTTGCAGCAACAGTGAACATAGTAACTGCCACATTTCCAGGAATAAAATCAACTTCTGTCAGCAGCGATCCGTACGCCCTCCATGTACTCCATGATTGAAGGAGGGCTCCGCCCAATGAGATAATTGCACAACAGCAAGCAAAGTACTGAAAATCTTCTATCCAGTGGGCCTATGGCTGACCCCACTCTCTTTTGGGGTTGGCCATACCCCCAATGGATTGAAAAGATTTTGGCGGGAAGCTTCCTTTGCACCAAGATCTCCATACTTTTTCGAGTAATATATGTAAAATGTTGACCGTGGGATCACACATACTGCACGGCAGGATTTGGGTCACTCAACTGCCACACAAACTCTTTTCTATCCTATCCCGTTGCTAGTGGGACCATGCTCCAGGGTATTGTAGAGGCCAGTTAGTGTGTGCACAGTGATCACCTGGAACTGTGAGCCATGGGTGTCCTGGAATATAAGACCACCTCCCAACCCATCCTCACGTCAATACTCCTAGCGCACCCCCTATCCCACTATTCTACCTCAGTGTGACTAGCACTTAGGACCATTGCCCTACCAACGGGCAGGTAACTTGGACCGAACAACAGTGATAGGCACAAGGGCTGATAGATTGCCCAACCCTGGTGGAAGTGGAATTGAACGAACCTTGTCGAACGGGAACTTCGAAACTAAGTGAGTGTGTGTGTGTGTGTGTGTGTGTGTGTGTGTGTGTGTGTGTGTGTGTGTGTGTGTGTGTGTGTGTGTGTG